TGAAGCCACTTGAGTGTGCGAGAAAGGCAGAAGCGCGCTGGCAAGGGATGGGGTGGGGTCCAGAATGAAGTCACGACCTCGGAAAAGGGAAGCAGGCTCAAGATACAACGAAACAGAGCGGGGTGCAGGGAGCACCGACAAAGCGCGGACACAAAACGGGGAAAAGGGATGGCGGGAAGGAAGAAAAGGAGCCAGGGGGGAGAACGGACGCGCACGGGTGGGCAGGGTGTAGAGGAGCGAGGGACGGGGCCAAAGACGATGGGCAGCGGGAGCAGAGCAGCAGCCAGAGGAGTTCAGGGGAGAAGAGGGAGGGTTAGGTACTGTACTGACGCTGTTCTTGGCTTCAGTTTCAGCGCCGTGCTTCAACAGCATCTCCGCCACCTTGTCATGACCGTTAAAGCAGGCCTTGTGCAGTGGTGTCCAGCCATCCTGTGGGATGATACATCAGCATGACGTACAGGTACAGCATCATCATCACCATCATCATGTGGTACAGGTGTAGCATCATAGGGGGGCTAAAGGGGAAGAGGGTTAGGTACTGTACTGACGTTGGCCCTGACTTTAGCATCAGCACCGTGCTTCAACAGCATCTCCACCACCTTGACATGACCGATATAGCAGGCATTGTGCAGTGGTGTATAGCCAAGCTGTAGGATAATGCATCAGCATGACGTACAGGTACAGCATCATCATCATCATCATCATCATCATCATCAGCATCATCATCATGGGGTACAGGTGCACCATCATAGGGGGGTAAAGGGGGAGAAGAGGAAGGTACTGTACTGACCTTGTTCTTGGCGTCAGCATCAGCACCGTGCTTCAACAACATCTCCACCACCTTGACATGACCGTTACCGCAGGCCTCGTGCAGTGGTGTCCAGTCATCCTGTGGGATGATGCAAACATGCAGTATATGTCCCATGTTATGCCATAACGTCACCCATCCAGGGACATATTCAAAGTGCAACCAATATCACATAACATCATACCAAACAGCAAACGTACGAAACCACTTTTGGATTGGGCAGCATCTCGTTTGCGTTGTTGGTCCCAACTGTTCACCAACCGCAGCGCCTTTTGTGGATCTGATGAATAACACGCCCTGTACAGCTGCCCTCCGTCATCACTCATGGTAATGGTATCTCTCTCCATTCACCATCCGCTTCAAACCGCTTTTTTTCGCTTCTCGATCCACCACCAATCTCATGAGCCCCCTCCAAGTACAACTCGTCTGACAACCCAAAAGTGGGATCCAACAAACGCGCGCCGTTTCCAAAACGGCAGCCGGTGAGCGGGTCTTGCTCTTCTCTGCCTGGTGCACCAAACGACCCACCTTTGGCCAATACTTATCAATGACAGTTGCGAGGACAGGGTATTTGGTTGCCCGGCGCACGTTGTCGACTGTGAGGCGAGATCAGTGAGGCCAACTGAAAGCAAAAAAATGGCAGCGATGCTTTCAATCAAAACGTTCGGGCGTCGCCGCAAGGTCCCGATCAGGGGAGTCCCGTACCAAACACAAGTGATCAGTCACCATGAAAGCACAAAGCAAGACACGTCAAGCAGCCCGCCGATGCCGATATCGAGACCGAGACCGCTGCCAAAAAGAAGAAGAAGAAGAAGAAGAAGAAGAAGAAGAAGAAGAAGAAGAAGAAGAAGAAGAAGAAGTTCAAAAGCAAATGGCAAAAAAAATGCAAACAACACACACACACACACACACACACACACACACACACACACACACACACACACACACACACACACACCACACACACAACTTTTTTTTTCTTTCTTTTTTTCTTTCTGACACACAGTCAGCAAATTCCAAAGCGCTGTAAAACTGGGGCCTTGGTCGTTCACTCGTCCTGCCCCTTTGCCTGCCAATGACACCTTACCCGTAACGAGAGGCTGCTAGAGCGCCGCAAATTGGGGCTTGTACGTTCACGCGTACGGCCCCTTTCCCTGCCATGACATTACAAGCCCGTTGCCTAGTTGTTACTGCCCCATCCGATCATATCAATCTGATCCCCCCGCCCGGATGCGAGCGATTACTTCCGACGACGAGGGAGCCAGCTTTAAGATCATGGCGACTCGCGTTTCAAAGGGAACGAAATGCACCATTGGCCTTGTCGTCGCTTCAAGTGATCATCACGGCTAGAAGCTTTTGACCTCTTCAAAATTTGGAAAGCCCGACCGCCAAGCCCAGATCAGGGCCCAGATCCTGGCAGAGGCCCAGATTGACCAATTACCTCCTGCCAGAAGCAAACAAAGGGGATCGGATTAAAATTTAACGCTGAGGGAGCTCCTTTTAGGATATGATCTGTTTGTGGTCAATTCACAGAAGCAAACAGAGGAAATGCTCAGTGTTCCACAGGCTTCCTTGAAGAGCGCCGTTAAGGATCATCAAGCATTATCCAGCCATGGTGCCACGACTGGCAGCTTCCAGTGTGATCCAGTAGCTTCTGGACATGCGTCTATGTTTGTTGCTCAGTAATAGCGATCGCCTAGCCAAACACAAGCGGCCATATCAATTCGTGGGTGCAGCTTGAGCCGCAAACGTTAGAGCGGTCAGGCCGTCACACAGGGTTTGTAGATCTTGGATATTGAACGATTGAGGATCCAAGCGCCAGCCGACACTGCAGAGAACAGCAGCAGCGCACCGCCAGCGTCTGCCCTGCTCCGCATGAATCAAGCCTTGGACTGGCACCACGTTGAAATCCGATGAGAGCAAGAACGTGCGGACAATCACATGGGAATCAGGTTCGCACCATGGGAATCTTTAGTTTGGTAGGAGCAAGGAGAACGGGTTGCGCGCAATAGCTCTGCAATCGGCTAAAAGTGAAGCAGATTCATCGATAAGCAAGCTTGCCTTTGCAATTCGTACTGAAAATAACAAAGGCTCACCTCCAGCTCGATGCGAGCCTTGCAAAGAAGCAGATCCAAGGGCCGTGCATCCGTCTGCCACAGCAGGTCGTCAGATATCAATCGCAGGCGCAGCAGAACAGCGGAAAAGCACGGCATCAAGATGAAAAGCTTACAAGTTCTCTCGCATCTGGGTCAGCACCGCGCCGCAAGAGTTGTTGAATAACCTTTTGGCTGGCAGAGAAGGCAGTGCAGGCTGCATGGAGCGGCGTTTGGCCGTCCTATAATATACAATCAATGATCAGAAACACGAGACTCATTTTTCTGTTTCTTTGGGGATTGAGCGTCGAGTGTGCCGAGGTAGAACCAAAGAAACGGCCGTTGAAAGCCGCTTGAGCATGCGAGGGAGGCAGACGAGTGATGGCAAGGGATACAACATCGAAAAAGAATGGCGACGGGCAGCGGGAGTAGGAGCAGCAACCAGAGGTTGGGAGAAAACGGGAGTACTGAGCTGACCTTGTTCCTGGCTTCAACATCACCACCGTGCTTCAACAGCATCTCCACCAGCTTGACATGGCCGTAGAGGCAGGCATTGTGCAGTGGTGTATCGCCACGCTGTGGGATGATGCGAAACAGCCATCAACATCATCATCATGTGGGACAGGTGTACCACCATAGGGGCTAAGGCGGGAAGAGGGAGGCACTGTACAAACAATATCTTTGGCTTCAGCATCAACACCGTGCTGCAGCAGCATCTCCACCACCCTGACATGACCGCTAATGCAGACATAATGCAGTGGTGTCCAGCCACGCTGTAAAATGATGTATCGGCATGACGTACAGTTACAACACGATTATTATCATTTGATACAGGTGTATCATTGTAGGGTGCTAAAAGTGAAAGACGTACTTACCATGTTCTTGGCTTCAGCATCAACACCGTGCTTCAACAGCATCTCCGCCACCTTGGCATGACCGTTTTCGCAGGCGTAGTGCAGTGGTGTGACGCCATTCTGTGGGACGATGCATCAGCATGACGTACAGGTTCAGCAGCATCATCATGTGGTACAGATGTAGTCAAGGGGGAGAGGGAGGTACTGTACTGACAATGGTCTTGGCTCCAGCATCAACACCGTGCAGCAACAGCATCTCCACCACCTTTACAAGACCGTTAAAGCTGGCCTTGTGCAGTGATGTATTGTCCCACTGCGGGATGATGCAGTCATGCAGTGTATGCCCCATAACGTCACCACATTCATAGTCAGTGACATAATCAAAGGGTAACCAATAACACCAACGAACATCATATCAAGCTGCGTAGCATCGTACCTCAGCTTTGTATTCAGCAGCATCTCGGATGCGTTGTTGGTCCCAACTGCTCAACAGCTGTAGCGCCGCTTGTGGATCTGATGCATCGCACGCATCCGACAGCCGTTCTCCATTGCCACTCATGGCAAAGGTATCGCTCGACCACCATATGCTTCAAAACCGCTTTTGGGGTCCACGACCAATCTCATGCAACCCCTCCAAATAGAACTCGTCCGACAACCCAAAACGGCAGCCGGGCAGCGGGCCTTGCTCTGTCCTCCTGATGCGCCAAACGACGTATCTCTGGCCAACAGGTTTCGGTGACAGTTGCGAAGACAGGTGCACTTGCTGGATCAAAGCGCACGCGAACGACTGTGAAGCGAGCCACGTGGCCCCACTGGGAAAAAAAAAAGTGGCAGCGGTGCGATGAACCAAACGTTCTGGCGTCGCCACAAGTCCCGACCAGGAGAGCCCCGTACCAACCACAAGCGATCAAGCACCACACACAAAGCAGGGCACGTCAAGCAACCCCCGGATACCGATGCCGACACCGATGCCAACGAGGGGAAGGAGAAGCGTACGAGGTCAAAAGTAGAAGGCAATTGCCAAAAAAAACTTCTGAAGAAGGAAAATGCAAAGAACACATGTTGTTGTTTTTGTCTATTTTTTGACTTGTCAAGTCCAAACGGTCATACGAGCAGATTCTGAAGCGCCGCAAAACTGGGGCCTGGATGTGCACGTGGACTGCCTCTTTGCCAGCCGTGGCAGCTGAAAAGCACTCCAAACCCCTTGACAAGCAGGTTGCAAAGCACCACAAAACTGGGGCTTGTATGTGACCGGCGAGGCTCAGATCGTCGCATAGCAGCAAGGCTCATGACAGAGTACGCATATCAATCAATATCTCTGACTCAAAATTCAATGTCTATATGAGCTTTTTCGACACGCTTCACTGTAACACATTTTGCAAGCCTCTGACGTGGGTGCCGACTGTCCTGGGTGCCCTTGCGGTGGTGTTGATGACCGAGTTGCGTAGCAGAGCACACAGTGTTCGCCGACTTTTCAGCCACACAAACTTGAGGTTTGATTCAAGCAACCGAAAAGAACCGTTTACTTTGCATAGCAGCTGTGGTAGGTCTGCAACAGAACGCACCAGCCCGGCTCATTTTCGGATATGCTTCTGCCCATTGCCTTTCCCTCGTAAATTAATAAAAAAAACAACCCGCTTTTACGCGTCTCCATCCTGTTGTGAGCTCCTTATCTTCCCACTGCGGTGCACAATTCGCTTTGTTATACGAGTCATCGAATGAATTGTGATCACAAGCAAAGAGCACGCTGACACACGCTGACACACGCTAACACACGCTAACACACGCTGACACACGCTGACACACGCTGACACACGCTGACACACGCGGGCACACACACACACACACACACACACACACACACACACACACACACACACACACACACACACACACACACACACACATACACACACACACACACACACACACACACACACACACACACACACACACACACACACACACACACACACACACACAAACAAAGCGCATAGATCCTAATCACCATAGCATGGAAAAAAGAATTCAGTTCCTCTAACAAGAGCGAACATCCCGTGATTGAAGCCAACGTAGCAATGCATACGCGTGCTTCAGCTGCAGCTCCGCTGGTAAGATGTCTGAGGGGTCCACTCCTTGCAAACGAGGGAAAAACATTGCCTCCTCATCAAGAAAAAGACCAAGCTCGGCTTGGAAAGCTTGTTCCCCAAGGTCGTACATGGGCCAAACGTACACAATGACGCGACGCAGTGCATCAGGGAGGCGCAACCACAATTCTGATGTGTGGCGCGAGCGTGCTGTTTGAACGCGTCGGGCCAGATCAGGCTCCAGAGCATCAGGAAAGTTTCTGAGACGCAAACGACCAGGTCGAACTTCCAGCTCCAGGCGGCACAAGACGTTCACCAAGCCCTCAACGTCGCGCAAAAGCCGAGGCATAATGCAGCTCGCACGGGCCGTTTGCATGGCGCCTTGATCTCCCAGACGCTCTAAGGCCCTCGCCAAGGTTGCATCCGCACTCAGACCGGTCAAGTCGCCGCTATGGCTGACCAGGTACTCCAGGAGGTGCTGTGCCGGCGTTAGAGCTTGCCGCAACTCCGACATCATCAATGGCTGCTCTGCATCTTCAGCCAAAGGCACTTGGTTGTGAGAAACCGCGAAAACGCCCAAGGCACGAAGGAAAGCCACACCGGGCTGGTTGTATTTGAACAACGGTGCAGCTTCGAATTCAATCAAAAATTTATTGCGAACAAATTTGTGGTAAAAGATTGCATCCAGTGCCCGCCAATCGGCAATCAGTGTCAGCCCATTTCCAAAGCCCGGGGCGCGCATGGCATACGGAAGCCAAATGCCATCCAAAGTAGCGGCATTATCAAGCGAAATTAGGCAGCTGGCATCACAGTCGGAGAGGGGTACCTGAGGTGCAAAAGCGCGCCGTGGTTCTTGCGCCAACAAGACATGGTGCCGCTGGCCCGCAGCCGATAAGAGTTGCTGCAAGCAGTTGTTGTGCTGGGCAATCAGGGCCGCCAGAAGGGCGCGCAGTTGATCCCCATCAGCATCCTCTGTGGGGAGGAGTCTTGTTGCAGGTGAGCTCAATGAAAGCGCGGGCAATGGCATCAGTTCGCGACACTCAAAGCGGCCGTGAGGGCTATCTTCGTCGGCCCCGAGCAGGTCATGCGGAGCCGAGGACCGAAGCGTGTTCCAAGCTGTGATGAAGCCTTCAATTGCCGAGTTCTCCACAAGGCCTCTGTTGATCACATCCGTCAAGCGCATGGCTTGGACTTGATCGGTTTGTAGAAGTTGACTGTCAGCGGCATGCATCATCTGCACACACGCACTCCACAACGGCCAGAGCTGTGCCGCGTTGAAGAGCATGGGCTGAACCTGCACAACGGCCGGTAGCAAGGGCAAGGCTGATGCAACGCGAGCATCGGATCGAAGGCGGCCTTCAAGAGCAGGCCAAGTGACTGCAGGGGCCAAGCGGAACGCTTCCTCCAGCTCAGAATCAGGTTCGTGTCGTTCCTGTAGCCACAACGCAAAATGCGACACCTCTTGCCGTGACGCATCAGCTGCGGTGCACACGTCGACCCATGCTTGGTGTGCCGTCCGAGGGTCTGCTAGCTGCTGGGTCCAACTCGTCTGCAGGTGGGTCTCCAAGGCATCTCGCGCAGCCGTAGTGGTTGGAATTCCATGACCTTGCAAATCACGGGGCAGGTCCTGCACCAGTCGATGCAGGACATGGCTCGTCTCTTCCAGCGTCAACCCCCACAGTGTCGTCAGCTGACGCATGCGGACGCTAAATCGGGTACAGAGCAGGCCGCCAGCATCTGTACGGAGCTCAATTATCTCAGCCACAACGGCTGCGTTCACTTCTGTGGCCAACAAAAGGCTCACGCTGCACAAGATGTCCAAAATAATAAGCGTGGCAGGTTGTACAGAACGAATTGGGGCTGGTGTTTGATTTGCAGCTTGGAGAACTGGAGGGTGGTAGCCAGGTGTAGTGTTGGTTGTCTGTCGAGGTGTGTTGTTGGATTGCCCGCCAATTTGCGAACGGCAATTGGGACAAGTGGACACCTGGTTGAGCTGGCCACAATTACCCACGGCATAAACAAACCCACACGGGCAGTTGTACACACGTGTCACAGCGGCCACAGAGCCCAAAATGGCACTGACATCGTCGTCGGCCTGGCCTGGCAAGAAGCTGCGGTTGCACACTTCGGCCCCATAGATCATGGCGGCCAGATAATTATCCTGTGCCATAGTCTCTGGGAATACAATGCTAAAGTGCAAAAGCAACCGATGGAGGTATCGGCCAGCATGCCCTGAGCCGGGCACGTCTGTTTGGGTATTCGGAGGCATTGTTGTTGTCCAAGCACGCTGCAGTCGCGTCGTCCAGTCAACGTTGGCCGCTGCAGCAAACTGCCGAGGCATCGGGCCCAGCTGTGCAGGGGGTGCATCAAGTAGACTGCGAAAAGCTCCAGCTGTAACGTCGTTCTGGCGTGTTGTGAGCTCGCGAGCAACTTCGGCTTGCATGGCCGACTCACGCAAGGAAGGCGGTGCATCAGCGCCGCTAGTTGGCTGATTGGCAGTGGCATTGCTCCTATTGGCTGTCCCGACAGCCCCTGAAGCTGCAAACTGTTGCTCAGCCCAAGCAGCGCGTGCCACATCAGATGACAAGGGGCCAAAGACATTGCACTGATCGTCTTGTGCACCTTGCTGCTCAGGCCAGGGTAGCTGGGCGATCCACGGGAGCGTTTCACGCCATCGGTCTGCATGCTCACGCAAGAGACCAAACTCGGCTTTTAAGCGAAGGTGCTTGAATATCAAAACTTGAGCCACTTGCGGTGCGTTTGCAAAGCAGTCCCAGATCCATCGCGCAGAGTCTGAAAGCCGATCCAGATCCCAGTTTGCCAGCAAAGTGGCATCTACAGCTTGATGAATGAGAGCACGAAGCACCGCAACGCAGATCATGTTGCGCGCGTTGACGGTCGGAATGTGCCTGTCCGTAGAAACGACGTGTAAAGCCCGCTCAGCAAATGCATACAGACCATCCAGACCGTTCAAGTGCGTCTGAACGGCCTCAATCAGCAAAATTGCGGCAGGATGACCCAAAGAGCGGTCCCGAAGACCTCGTGTTGCGTTACAGAGTAGGCTGCTGTGCAAGGTGCCTGGTGATTCAATGATCCCCACACATTGAGTGGCCAGATCGTCGCCATTGGCGTGGCAAAAGTCCACGACACGCTGCAAAATGCGCGCAATGGCAGGCCAGACAGGATCTTGGGCGTTCACCAGATGCTCGTGAGTCGCCTCCGCCTGTGTCTCTACACGATGCAGTTGGTCATGGGTTGTGGTCCGTCGACAAAAGGGGCAATTGTTGTGTCCTGATTGATTGAACCATTCATCGACGCACTCTTCACACATTTGGTGTCCGCAAGGCAGACGCATGTCGGGCACCGAGTCCATGCAAATGTCACAGCTCACTTGTTCTGGAAGAGCATCCAAACACTCTGCCACATGGCGCACCACAATCTCCAGAACTGATTCATCAGCGGAGGGTGTGAACAAGCTCGCCTGCAGCACAAAGTCACTAAAGACAGCCATGGCTTCGGCCACTGCACGCAGCTCACGAACGCGGCCGTCACGCAAGCACTGATCAAAAAGCACCCGCAAATGCGCAAACAGGTCATCGCCTGGAGCCATCGCAGAGTCATCTGCAATGCGCACCGTCGTTTGTATGTCCTTGACGGGCAGCCCTCCTTCAAGCATGTGACCTAGCATGGCATACATGAGGCGGAGGCGAGCAACGTCACGAGATTCTTCAAGGAGCAACTGCCAAGGCATCTCTCCAATTGGCGTGCTTGGGCTGAGATTAAATGGTACGACACGTAGGGCCTCAGACAGCTCCTCGATCGTGCGGCGATCTCTTGCGCCAAGGATTCGCTCTCGCCAGGCATGGCGTAAAGTCGTGGTCACTTGAGGAACAATATCGTCCCCATAAATTCCGGTCATGAGGAATTGGTGTGCTTCAACCTCACCAATCACAGATCGAAGCGCCTGCACTAAGACTAACAAGCTTCGCACATCCCTTTCCATCTGCATCCAGCGTCGTAATGCCACCGAGGGCGAATACTGAAACTGCTGTGGCAGCGAACGTGCAAAAATTGCACAGATGCGCAGCTCGACGTCCTTTTGGGCCCATCCCAGCAGCCGCGCCGCATCCAGAAGCAAGGCAACCATGATGTCAGGGTTCTCCTCAAACGAAATGAGGTCATCAAGGTATGCCAAGGCCTGAGAAGCCGGCCCCGCTGCCGATCCCTCATCACTCGACGTATCCATGGCACTATCACTCAAATTGTCCACCTCATGCGAGAGGGCACTGCACGCCATCGCTACACCAGGCAGCCAAGCCTGCATACTGCTTAGACCAGGAAGAAGTCGCACAGGTGGCAGCTCGTGGAGGCCGAGAGGGCGTGGGATGCCTTGCATGCGCTCACAAGCGACTCGAGCGTCGCGCTCTACAGCCAAGTTGAGCGCACGATGCCGCATGCGAATATCGTAGCGTCCAGACGGATCTATTTGCTCATAGCAATCGGCCGGCTCGATCAAGGCTTGCAAAGTGCCCTGCGCAAGCATTTCGTGCACGATGCGAGCGCTTGCCGCTTGCAAGGCGCGAACACAGGCTTCCTCCACTGTTTTGCAAAATGGCAGGCCTTCTTGCCGACAATCCACGTCCCGCGCTACGAGTTGCACCCAATCTTCTGGCCCCATGGAGGCAAGATACGTGGCACCGATCTTAGTGACAAACAACCATAGTTGTCTCACATCATCACGCTCGCGCAATGCCAGGAGCAAGCGGGTGGTAAGCTCTTGAATGGTTGCCACTGGGCCATTGGCTGTGCGCGCCAAGCAGTGCCACATGCCCGCAGGCTGCTGAAGCCAGGATTGCACGTCTGGAACAAAGGTGTGCACAAGCTCCTCAAACCGAATTTGCCTTAGTGTCACGCGATTCAGCTTTGGCATGTCAAGCGCGTCAACAAACTGCATCGGCACATTGGCCGGCAGGTGGCAAGAAGCAGCACTCGCGGAATTTGATCGAGGTACAAACACAATGAGCACAAGCTGTTTTTCAGCCGTGTTGAGTTGCTGGCGCCGTTGCTGGGCCAATTGCACGATGATATCCAAAGTACTCAACTGTGCCACGTGAAGCCGCAGACAGCACAGCTCGCTGTCACCACGCACAAAGTCATCCAGACGGGTCTGCAACTCCCGCTCGCTCTGAAACGTCCGTATGTCATGTACCACATGGCGCGCGGTAAGTGGCAATTGCGCAAAGGGTGAATCATACGTCAGTAGCACACTGATAGGTCCAGCATGCGGAAGCCAGCTTTGCAGGGACTCGACGGGCCGTTGCAGTACTTCCTGCAGAATAAGGCGCGCCAGAGGCATAGTTGAAGCCTCCGGCGAAGCATTGAGGCCAAGGTACGCCTCTACCGAGAGAATGCCACTCAAAGCACGCGCCACACAGTGTTGAACGAGGCCGTACGGGACTTGGGCACAACCTTGACCATGATCACCAGGCATGGACAGCGCAGGCAACACCGCGTGAGCAAGCAATGTGTTGTTGACCGCTACGAAGGCATCCGATTCCGACAGGCCTGCAGCCCTGGCCAGCATTTTCATGTCTGCTTGAATGTGATCCCACCATTGACGGTGCTGACCGGTGGCCAAAAGCCCAGGAAAGTCAATCAGCTGCTTCTCAAAGCGGTTTAAAAAAGGGGGATCGTACGTCTGCACTTTGTTTTGATCCATGATAACAACGCACTTGAACTCGGCGTGGACCGGGCACAGCGGATTTGAATGCTGACCAAAAGCAATGCGGCAGTTTCTCTTCCCCTGAATGGTCACGTACGCTTGATTCAGACAGTCGTACAAAGCGCCATACAAAAACTCAAGGTGGCGCAGGATCAGGACCCCTCCAGCCTCCATAAAGTGGATAATCTGGTTCAGCTTGCCATAGACATACTCCTGTTGGAGGCGATCATCGGGAAACGCGCTGCCAACCAGCTCCAATCGGGGCACTTGTTCGACGGGTGGCAGCAATTGATCAAGGGCCACCATCGCCGCATACCCATCCGTGCCCAGCAACATGTGACGTGCTTGATAATCTTTCAGATTATTTTCGAGCAACTCAAGAGCCGTCGGAACCAAGAGTGCTCTTGAACCTCGCGTCCGAGGAGCAATGTGGGTCCAAAACAACTCACAGACGCTAGTCAAATCAGTGCTACGTCCACCAAAGTTGCGGGCAGCTGCAGAGATCACAATGCGACCCAAGCCTTTTTGCAGTGGTTGTCGCGCCTCTCTCAAAAGCTTGGCACCCTTGCCAATCGCTTTGCACAGCGCATAAAAGTCGCGGAGGCCATAAAAACTGTCATTGCTGGGTTGTAAGACAAGTTCGTTGTAGGCGTGCACAACCTTCGTGACCAAGTCTTGAATCTCTTTGCAATCTTGCTCCTCTAAAAACGTGGCCAAAATGGTTTGAGCTGTGTTCTCAAGTTCCTTCAGGGTGGGAGGCGGGCGCTGAAGAACCACGGCCCTATTCATCTTGGCCGTGTCCAAGCCCCAGTTGGAGACGCCGATCACGGCCAGTGGCTCGAGTTGCTCAGCGGACGGCTCTAGCAGTTTATGCAAAATCTTGAGCGGGTTGAAGCGTGAATGCTCGGCCAGACCAATCTCGTCCATCAGAACAACGGGAAAGGTTTGCTGATACCGTGGCTTGGCCGCATAATCGCGAGCTTGGCGAAACACCTTCTCAATGCCCTCGGAGGTCGAGTCCTCCGATCCTTGGTAGGGAAAAAGCTGAACGCCCGCATAGGTTTGAAGCAGAGGATCTCGCGAGTCGAGGTTACGAAGGCTACAGTTCACAATGGTGGTTGCCACGGTTTTCGAGTTGCCAGGCGCCCCAATCAGGATGATCGGCGTGCGAGTGAGGACGCACACTGTTAGCGAGAACACGTTTTGGAGCAGTGCCCGATTCATGGCCAAGTTGGGATACGCTGATGTATCCATGCGGCCATAAAGGTTGCGTTCCTCGGCATTGACAACTTGACGCCAGGACTTGATGTCAAAGTTGCTGGGGAGCAGAGATCCTTGAACGCAGCGAAGAAACGTTTCGCGGGCCATCTGACGTTCTTCAGTGACGGGCATGCGCACAATGTACGCAAGCTGAATGGACAGCACCACGCTGAGGGCCTCTCTCTGACCATGCAATGCGTGCAGGCGATTTGATGCACTGACGTTGCGTGAAAAGTGATACCAGTAACTATCAGCATGAGAAGAGGGAGGGTCCAGGCTATCGCGGCGTGCGATATAGTCTTGGAAAAACTTGTAAAACACCAAAAACCGACGAACATCTCGCAAGCTGACGACAAATTCTTCGCTGCGGCCATCCTGGCGCAAAAATGTATGAAGGCGAGACAGGCCATGGGCCAAGGAGGCAAGTTGGCCGGGGGCGCGCAGTTGCACGTGTTGCATAAGCATCCGTTCGATGTAATTGGCCTCATCTGCCTCAGCCAAGGCACCAAAATCCCAGACATAGGTCAGCATGGCTTCGGGTAGCGGGTGCACGCGGTAGCGCAACTGCGAACGCTCGTCAAAGGTCTGAACGACTCGGCCCTGTCGCTTGTTCTCCACGGCCAGCCCTGCACGACGCACTGGTGGTGCGCGACGCTCATACGGGTTACATGCCCCCATGACGATCAAATTCTCAGGCAGCGGATCCGTGTACAACTTGCGGCGCACGAGAATATCAGTCAAGAGACCGAGGTACTCGCAGGTATTGACCTCGTCGTAGAACGCCCATACCTGTTGATCGGGTACCCCGCGTGCTGTTTCGATGACTTGATGTGTAAACGCAACAATGTCCTGGCGTGTGGTTCCAGCATGATGGGGTAGCTGACGGAAAATGTGCCCGGCTATGCGGCAAAGTTCTTGCAAAAGGCTTGTTTTACCAATGCCAGCCTGTCCCATCAAGATGATGGGCTGAAGCGCATCGGCACGCAGGACAATCATCGCCATCTTGAGCATATTGTCGGCTGTCAAGGAGTAGTTGCCAACAGGAGGACGATGTGCATCGTTATGGGAGGTCAGGGCACGCAATCTTTCAATCATTTGTTCCGGAGACGAACTGGCCAGGGATTTTGGCGGTTCGAGCTGGCTTTGTAAAAGTTGCCGAATTTCAGCATCTAAATCCGAGGGATCCTTGTACAAGATTGAAATGCAGCCGTCAACCTGCATGAGAACGAGGATGTGCGTCGCATCGTCCCACCGCACAAACTCTGAGAATGACGCAAGCATGGCATCAACGAGATTGCCCTCGTGATGTTGCTGGCGCTCACGTGCTGCGAGGGTGGAGCGAGCAGCAAATGTGCGCACCGTCTCCAGGAGGTGTCGCAAAAGCCGTGTGCGAAAGCCGCGAGGCACGGACATGTCACGTAGCACGTCGGGTTTTAGAAAAATAGATTTGTCAAAGCGAACAAGTTGCTGATGGAGGATGCTGATGAAGACGTCCAGTTCTGCGTAGCCTGCCGCGGGCTGATGTTCAAGAAAGTGTCGTTGAAGAAGTTGGCGACAGACTTCCTCTTCCAGCGCTTCACTGGTGTGTTCATCGGTCAGAGGTGCCTCTACATTGTTAGCATCCAGTTGATACAGGTAGCGACACACAATTTGCACGGGCGTATTCGGATCGCTTGGAACGCGCAGGTCGTTGACCGTACTTTCAATCAACTCCCACTGCAAGGCACGCAAGAGAGGCATGCACTGCTCGAGGTGGTTGCCAACTGTGTTGGCCAGCTCAATGTAAAAGCGGGTCCCTGGTCTCAGGGATACCAGCTTGCACCAGCTTGGTGTGGCTTGGAGCAAGAGGAGGTGCAACAGCAACTTCTGCACGGCCACGGCACGCTCAGCCACCAGAGGGCCGATATCAACGTGCACGACCAAGGGTGGCTGGTCAGGGTGGCAAGGATGACGTGTGACAATTTGTTCCAACGCGGCTTGCACAGCCAGAAGGTCAGGATCGTCTTGGATGGATAGCAGCGCAAAACTCTGTTCCTCAGGGACCTGCTGCTCAATCCACCGACTCTTGCCTTGGCGCGGCGCTTGCGACATCACTACAGTCGAACTGACGCAGCGTGCAGGAAAGCATGCGCGCACCAAGGCAGCAAGATTTTCTCGGCTGCCATCCGGCAGCTGGTGTTGCACGGCTGGAATAGACATGCTCACGTGGTCAACTGCCTGGCCGCCTGGACCACGCAATGCAATGATATAAAAATAGCCCCGACGTTGAGTCTGCAATTTCACCAGTGCCGTCTGAACCTCATCGTGCAGGTAGTCTGGGCGATAAACAACAAATGGGGTGCTATCGCCTGCAGCTGCCGTTCCCCAGCCCAGCTGTAAAAAGCGGTGGATTTGTAAGGCCGTGGTGGAGGAGTCACAGATCAAGACATGTGCGCTCGACGGTCGCGCTCCCGCAAGGGCAAAGGGCAGATGAAGGGCACATAAGCAACTAAGGTCATTCTGGCAAGCCAGTACCTGTGGTCGCGTCCCATCATGGGTTGGCAATTCGAGCGCACCCGGCGGCTGATAACGCTGTGGTTCCGGATTCGGACCCAGGGTGGCCTCGGTGAGTTGCAGCAGGGCGCGTAGAGCTTCGCACAAATTATCAAGCAGTAGGCCAGAGCGTTGGGTGTTCTTGTTTGGTGAGGACTGAGCCCAATTCTGGGCAATGCGGAGCACATCATCTTCGTTTGGCAACACATCATAACTCAGGTAGGCCACGAGGGGCCACAAGTTGTCCAACGAGTTGGTCTCACGGACGCTTTGAAAACAGTCATATACGTAAACCAATTGTGGTCCGGGGAAACGAGCCAGCTCGGGTGATTCAGTGCATCTCTGATCAATGATTGCGGTCCATCCTTCCAATTCGCACTCTAGCTCGGTGCTTAAGGCTTTGAGCGGTTCTTGCTGAAAATCAGTCGTAAAAGCCTCGTCAAGATAGGCACCCATGTAGCCGCACGTCGCATATTCCTTGGCTATAGCTTTCAGACGATCAGCTTCCGCGCATGCGGCACGAAACTCGGTCATGGCTCGGGCTAGATCTGCTTCGGCCGAGCCGTACAGTTGTGACCGCGCACGGAGATCCTGCAAGCGATCCCAATTCAGTTGCTGGGCATCACCAGCAGGCGCGTTGTCGCTGACTGTCTCGACTGTGATGGCATGTGAGTGTGTGGTCGAATTCCAGCGCACAGAGAGTTTGGGCTGGTTTTGCATCAAATGCTGGATGCGGAGCTTGGCTGATCCTGATCGATCCGTCACGTTTTCCCAGAGGTTGCGAAGGGATCGCGCGCTAGTGCAGCATGAATGAACCAGTACTGCTAGATCTCTGCCACCCGGTACTCCAGCCTGCTGCTGTTGGCGGTCATTGAGCTGATCGAACTGTTGCACTAGATGGGCTAGCCAGCCTTGGACATTGGTGCCTTGGCTGCGCAGAGTGGGAGCAATAATGTGATGCAGCGTGACAAAGTCATTGACGGCTGCCTCAGAGGCGGCATACTGGTCTGCGGAAACGCTCTCGGCGCCCATGATGAGACCACGCACATCCTCATCGAGGGAGATCCGGAGCAGGTCAAAAAGCTCGCCGCCATGAGCAAGCTCACGGACCACCGCCCAGATGTTGACCGACAAGCGATTCGTTTGTGCGTCGAGCAGGGCGAAGCAGTCGCTCAAAACTTGCAATTCGGTGTCGAGATTTGACAACAGCTCGAGGACGTTGGCACTAATGTCTAGCAATTGGCCTGAAGCGCGAATCCCAAAGGGCTGCAGCAGTTCTGCCAAGCGCGACAGGAGGCGACTACGGTCTTGTATCTCAACTGCTCTCCAGAGCAATTGGACCAGTTCGACTGGCTGCCCTCGGTATCTGCCAAGATCAAGGCGCGAAAACCACATCTCGGTCTCCTTGCGGCGCTGCTCGATGGGTGCGCGCGCCAGGCATTGAAACACCCATGCAATTGTCACGAGATTGGCCTCGGGCTGTAAAATGGCACGAAGATCTTCATCCAGTGTCTGCTGAACAGGCTCCAATAAGCCTGCATAAGAGACGTCCAGTGGATCAGCCAAAGAGCGCTGGGCCCTTTCACGCTCCAGTACCACGCTGTGAATCAAAGCTCCCACATTAGATAAAGCCCCAGCAGCCTCAGCCCCCTCGATCGCATCCTCATCTTGACCATCATTGATAAGAGCACCATCTTCATCCCCATCACCGTCTCCGTCACCTAGGCTAAAAGCATCTTCATCGTCCGTGTCGCCGTGGTCTTCAAGAACAAAGGCGTCTTCGTCCTCGTCGCTGTTGTTGATCAGAAGACCATTGCTCACATTCAAGGAGCGAGCGCGTAGCTCGCGACAAACCACGTGCTGTAGTACTTGCGAATCAAGAGGTGCTGCACGATAGGCAAGAAACGCACGTAGATCCTCAGGAAGCAACCAATCGGCACGCGGTAAGCTCTCGGCGTCGGCTTCAAACTGACTAAGCTGTACTTGAAGCGCCTCGACATGGCGGGCGGTTGCCTCGGCCTCGGCTATGCGCGCAGACTGCAACAGATAGTCGAGGGCTGATCGGACGACCTCCATCTTTTCTTGGTAGGCAGTGACGGCTTGGCGCAGGTCCAAAGTCGGATCAAGGACGGCGCAGTCCGTGTCTGCCCAACGGTACAGTTGTTGAAGTTGCTGGTCGCTGCAGGACTCGCACAGCTGACGTGCAAACGCCAGCGTGGCCGAGCCATTGTGCACAGCGCGCACAGTATCGTTCCATGCGTGCACGACCGCTGCGACGCGTGGCTCGCTACGAATTGCGGCTGCGAGATGGTTTTTCGGAGCTTCGGCGTCTGAAGCGTGCAGAGCTGCCATGATTTGATTCCAAAATGATCGTTGATACGCCAGGTTAGCCAAGAGAAGACCCAGGGCATCATGCTCCGGCGGCCCTTGCATAGCCGCCTCCACGCGCAACGCGCTAGCGTAAAGCTGAAGGCTCAGCGCCTGCAGGTCAGGCAGAGCCAAACCTAAGAGCCCCTGCAAAAGCTGAGCATCTGGCTCCAGCTGAGCAGATTGTCTCTGGGCACCCTGCTGCAAAACTTTTGCGTGCAGTACAAGCATTGAAGGTGGGGCATCGATCGTGAAGCACTTGTCATGAATGGTATGGTGCAGCAGTACTGGCAGTGAAAACATTTGAACCAGGCGTTCCACCAGCTGATCACCAACGTCTGTTTCGGTAATAGGGCCAGGCTCGGCAGCATAGCGTTGCAGAATGACCGCGTATTCTGGTGGAGACTGATTGCGGAAACCGCTGGAGAGCAAGAGGTCCAAGTGCCTTGCAGATGACACAGCGCCCAGCTCGCTTGGTCGCACGTGACGCAAAACTGCGAGATGGCACCTCCACGTGTCCCAAGAGTCAGCTGTCACGGTAGAATCAAGCTGAAACGCGGAATTGCAGCGCAAGGTATGCTCAAGAAGTGACTGGGTGTCCTGAGGATGCTCACGCCACCACACCACTTGCTGTTGTGCAAACTGATCCGAAAGAAATTGCTGAACAAGGGAGGACAAGCCAGGCTCTATCGGTCGGCTGAGCAAAGCACGGATGTTGGGCGGGGTCAGCTTTGTGAGCCCAGTTTGAAACGCGGCAAGGAGTCGGTCGCGCGACTTTGTGCCAGCAGCATGCCACGCCATTTGTTCCTCAAGTGTTTCATACAATAGAATCAAAGTGGTACTGCTGACAGAAGGACAACGCAAAATTTCAGACACGAGCGTGGCGGCGTGGTCTTGTAGCAGCACTTGGTCGTCTCGACAGGCTGTAATGAGCACTCGGGCGTCTTCATCGGTGACAATCGGGACTGAAGCTGGCGGTTTGCGCCCAACTGAGTTCACCTCAGGAACGCCCAGGCTTGCACGCAAGAGAAACTGGAAGACAGGATCCACCCGCCTGAGCGACCCTTTAACCAGCTCGCTGAGCACCTTTTCCATGCGATCCGCCACTGCTGGCTCTAGTTGAGAAGCGATTCGCTGCACGAACGGTGGCGCCTCGCGATAGGCGCGCTGCAGAAAGTATTTGTCTACACCATCCAAATAGATCTTGCCTGCAGCCAAAAACGCATGGAAGAGAGGCAGAAGTGCCACACGCTGAGGGAGATTGTCTTCAGCTTGTCGAACAAGTGCAAGCATGCATTCGCAACGTTCACGGGTATTGTAGAAGGCATAGGCAAAGGCGTCGACAAACTCGGCTTGCTCCCTCAAAGCAGTTGTGGGGGCTGGTTTGGCGTCGATGTGCCACTCTTCAAGGGACCGCTGTTGAAGCTTCAAGAAGGCAATCTTGTTCTGGAATGAGACAGACGAATGGCTTGACACAAACACAGAGACGTGTCGATCGCTCAGCGGTCGAACGGCTTGCCGAGTTACCACCCGATCCGTGGTCAAGTTCTCGAGCAGTTCTGCATGGCTTGGCTCGGAATCCGCACTTTTTTTGCTTGAGAAGAAGCGCTTAAACGAGGAAAATATCTGGCCTGCGGTGCTCTTGGGCTTGCAAAGGTGAATCTCAAGATTTAGCTTTTGCCAACTCGTGAGGAAGCTAGATGCCAGTTCCATCGTCACACAAGCACACAGTACGCCTGACACAGCCGTCTGATGGGCAGATACAACGGGAGTGAGAAGTTAGATAAAGGATAAATGAACAGGACCGTAACGCGCAAGCACACGACAGAGTTGATGTGGCTGCTTCAACCAGATAACACACCGGTTGAAACAAAATGCCATGCTCAACGTCTTTTGCTCCAAGGTCCCTGGCATCACCAGTCAAAACAAAACACCGATCGGCGTCCAGCTGTTGCTCAACTGCCAGATACACGGCCTGCAGGTAGAGAACAAGGTTAGATAATCAACGCAATAAGCAACTCAAAAAAAAAAAAAAAAAAAAAAAGAATGAAGAAGAAAAATTTGAACAGACCTACCATCTCGCAATGCTCAAGGGAAGTCGAAGTCATCGCTGTGGGGAAAGAATTTGTGGCCCGCTGGGCGGCGCGATCTGGGGTTGGACCACCTCGACGCACACGGAGATGAACGTCACCTTGTTTCGATGATTTTTTGTGATCTTCGATGAGCTTTTTGACATTGTCAAGATTGACAACAGAGCCATTGATAGAAAGAATTTCGTCTCCGTCCTTCAGCTCGAAGCCTTGCCCTTTGTATTGAATCACTTGGGTTTGTACTTCACTGACAAACGTCGGGCGGTCGCTGTCACGATGAAAGACCTTGTGGCCGTTGCGAGTATGCAAGGAAGCCAGAAAAATATCAAGTTCTTTGGGCTGTGGAGACTGTGTCGTAGACGCTTCAAAGGATGGGGGTGCAGCAGCAGTCGCGCCAGGTTGCTGGGTTTGTCCCGAATCCGCGGGGTTGTTGGAGTGAGTGGCTGGCCGATGGGAAACGTGGGCATCAACGTCTACAACTGTGCGTTGCTGCGGCGAGGCGACGTTGCTCAGATCGGCAGTGTTGCTACTGTCACTACCATCGCCATGTCTGATCTCGTCGGGCCGTCTCGGTTCGTTCGTGTCGGAGGACGTGGCAGTGGTGGATACCAGCGGGTCCGAGGCCGCAATTGGCGCGGGTGTGGAGGCGGCTGTAACCTGCACGCTTGGCGCGGAGGCGGCCGTGGCTTCGACCTGCACGCTTGGCGCGGAGGCGGCCGGTAGAGACGGCGTCGGCTCCTCGGCAGTTGCAGCGGTACATGGTCTTTGCGTGGATCCATGACTTTTGTTGTCGCCCTCGTTGTCGCTGTCGTTCGCATCTGATTCGCAGCTGCTGCTGACGCTGGCCGTTTCCCAAACGGATTGACTGAGATCAGCGTCATTCGGGGACGTTTGGCCCGATTCAACATTTGCTGCAGGGGCCGTTCTCAGCCTTGGATCGCCTTGGGCACCACCCCCAGCGGCGCTGCCCTTGGGCGGCTCCTGGTCCATGACGCGGGCAGTACCTGCTTGCAACGCGTCACCTCAGTCCGCCGTCGCCTTTACCACAAGCCAAATGATTGCCAAACCAGACCAAAATGTCAATGATCAGTGTGCACCATTCCCTGGTCTGTCCCCTAGATCAGCCGATCAAGGGCTGGGTCGTTCTATGTGCGCGTGTGCGCCGTGTGTGAGTGTGTGATCGAATGCCACTGCTCTCGTCGATGATCCGAATGCCACGCACGACGATCAATAAAAAAAAAAAATGAGAGAGAGAGAGAGAGTTGAAGTGTGCGTGGTTGTGAGAGACAGAGACACGACGTCAGGAGGCAAACAATTCAGAGACATGAGGGTAAGACTCACATAAAAGGTGTAAAGTTAATGGAAAGGGCGTAAGCGATCAGAGAGTTGGCAGTGAACGAGTCTGTGGTAAGAGGGTTGGTGGGTAAGGGCCAGACACACAAAAGCATTTCGGACTGGGAGAGGGACCGTACACACTGTGAGCACCACCAGAGATGAGACGATCTTGCTTTCAACGAGCAATGTTAAACCAAAGGTAAAGCTAGAGAACTTACCTCACGCTGAGTTCTCTCAGAGATAAGGACGCTTCTCATAAGAACAGCGTCAGCACATGTAAATGTTATCACCAAAAAGAGAAACACAAACTACATGAAGAGTAGCATTATCTAACACTACATCCACCTGTACAACAACAATAAGTACCCTATTTTCTTCATTATCTGTAATCTACACAAACTCTACGGTTTGCCACAAAAGCTCTATGATTTTGTTAGTACACATCATCTACCAATCCATAGCATCTTCATAACCTCTATAAACAGGAACAGTAAATTTACAAGCAGTTTAAATGTCAGACATTTGATGCCATGACGACCAACGGCGACGCGAGCACATCGCGGCGAGCGAGGGGGGCGGGTGTCTTGCCTCGGTGGTGGCGCTGGGGTTCGGGCTGTGGTGGGATGATGCCGGCACTTGTGATTGGCGTCGTCATTGCGAATTTGGCTACTCTGTCCTGGGCAGAGTTGGGAGAGCCGGTGGTGTATGTGGATGATGTGGGCAACTTGTTTGTGAACGGTTCGGGTGGGGCGGCTCGGGTGTATGTGAACGGGATCGACTTGGCGGCCCTCGTGGCCGAGCAGGAGGTGCTGGCGGCTAGTCAGGCTAGCCTGCTCGCAGCCCAAACCAGTGCTTTGGCGACGCAAGCCAGTCTGCTGGCCCAGCTGCAGCACCGTCTTCCAGATTTTGACGCTCGGTTGCTGGCCATTGGTGGGTATACCAACGAGAGCCTGGACTTGGTCCATGCCTTTAATGGTACGGATTGGTCACCGGACCCCGCGCTGCCAAGCCCACTCCACGGGCACAGTGCCATTGCCTTTCGTGACCAGGTGTACGTGGTCGGTGGTTACAACACGGTGTATGTCCCCGACGTGTATCGCCGCCTCGACAATTCGTCTTGGATAGCTGCTGCCCCCTTGCATACGGCGCGCGGCTACTTGGCCACGGTTGTCTTTCACAACGAACTGTACGCTTTGGGTGGTGATGGTGGAAATACCATCTTGTCCAGCGTTGAAATTTACAATGGTACCGCCTGGCGCTCTGGGCCAGCCCTGCTAGACCCGCGTGCTGACCTAGCGGCTGTCTCGTACCAAGGAGAAATTGTGGTTTTGGGCGGCACGGAAAGTCGGGCTCCGCCTCAGGTCACCGGCTCGGTCATGGCGTTTAACGGCACTGCCTGGCGTTACATTGCGCCCCTGACGCAACCCCGCCGGGCCATGGTGGCTGCTGTTTTCATGGACCATATTTATGTGGCGGGCGGCATTGAAGCGGCTGCCTTGGCTTCGGTGGAGATGTTCAACGGCACCGCCTGGTCATTCGGGCTGGCTCTCCCCACTGCCCGTCACACCATGTCCGGTGCCGTCTTCCAAGACCAACTTTACATTGCTGCAGGGAAAGGCAACGTCGACATGGCAGATGTTCTGGCCCTCGACGGTCACAACAAGGCCTGGATCACCGCCCCGCCCCTGCCTGTGGCCTGCCAGGCGCTTGCCCTCGTCGTCATTTAATAACTCTTGATGGGCGCATGATATTCAACACCATAATGGTGCCATGCAGCTTGCTGCCTGGCCCCTTTCTCCGACCTCTTTTGCCCCTTTGAAAGGTCATAACTCGACTTGTAATCGACACGTGTGTTTTCATTTCGCTTGTTCTTCACCACCACTCCATGGCTACGACCAACGGCTCGATCCCGCTTTCCGTTCACCCACCCACCCACGCACTCACGCTCCCAGTCAACGCCCCCCCCCTTGCCGCCTTGTCCGACCGTCTTATGTTTTTCATTCCCCCCTCCCCGTCCTCTTCTCGTACCGTCATGAGATCAAGTCTGCCTCGGGAACGACAATAACTAATTAATTTTCTGCATCAACTTCAATATGCTGAAAGGCATGGTGCCCTATGTAATCCTAATTTGCTACGATATCTGACATTTTAACAGAAATAGTCATCCTCCTCTCTCTGTTTCGCGCATTTTGTGCGTCTTGCGTGTGTCTGTGTGTGTCTCTCTCTCTCAAACCCTCTCTCTCTCTCTCTCAAACCCTCTCTCAAACTCTCTCAAACCCTCTCTCAAACTCTCTCTCTCTCTCAAACCCTCTCTCTCAAACCCTCTCTCTCAAATCGTCTCAAAACTCTCTCAAACTATCTCAAACTCTCTCTCTCTCTCTCTCAGAAACACACTCTCTCTCGCTTTCTCTCTTTCTCTCTTTCTCTCTCACTTTCTCTCTCTACTTTTCTGAACTTGACGTGCTGAGCATCATCATGGCAACTACAAATGGCAGCGCTGCGGACGGTACGTCGCTGCTGGACCCTTTGCTTGAGCGGCAGTCCTGACCATTCCGCTACACGTGAGGATACACACCTACCAAGGCGTGCAGCCCGTCCTCCCACCATCTGGGTTTCTTGATCGGGCTCGTACCCCCAGAAGCCTTGGTTGCCAACCCCACTGACTGGCGCTCTTGACGCCTCGCACGTGTCCCTCCTTCCTCCCTCCGTGCTGTCTCTGCGTCTGTGCTCTGCCTGCCTGCCTGTGTCTTGCCTGCAGCTGTGTTGTCCTGGGTCTGCGCCTGACCTGAGTCCGCGCTTATGCTGGGCTGTGTCTGCATCTGTGTTTGCGTCTGTGCTGGCCTGAGTCATGTCCGACTTGAGCCCCGTCTCTCTCTCTCTCTCTCTCTCTCTCTCTCTCTCTCTCTCTCTCTCTCTCCT